TTGATTTTTACACAAAAAAAAAATTATGAATTAAATAATAAATTTATGTTATCTATATACAGAATAATAAATCTACCTTTATTTGCAACTTCCCATGCTATTTCAAACAAAATAGGATTACGAACGTCTCGATAAACCATTTTTTTTAATAATTTGTTTTGTTTTTATTTATCAATATTAAATGTACTTTATTTGAAATTGAAAATTAAAAAAATTCAAAAAATCAATTCATTTTTTATTTTATATCAATATTTAAAAAACCAGACTTAATTGTGACTAGTTTATTGAAAGAAATTAGAAGTTAGACTAATTTCTAAATTAATATATTTACAGAAATTGACGTCAATAATTACGAAATGATGACATAATTACATACAAAAAATTAACTAACACCCATAAAATTAATTATATATATATATATAAAGTTAGCAGGAAGAGAGGAAAATTAAAAATACAAATACAAAATCTCGCACGTGTATATATTACAATGGTTTTAAAGATTTTTTAGTTGCCCAAAATCTATAACTTTTATCGTAAGAATTATTTTTTTCTAATTCATCCATGCAGATATCAATTAACGAATCGTAATTTCCACCTTCAAAATCAATACTTGACACTGCATCACCTAAATTTGTGGCACCCCATTTTACAATCTGTTTAGATAACGTTTGTTATTATTATATTATATTATTATAAGCAAAATATTAATTATTATATTAATAATTAATTACCTTGGCGTAAGCTTCACCTAATTTTCCACCAAAGGAACCGAGAGGAGCTTCTCTCGCATCAAATGAAATCTTTCTCAATTGTCTAGTCTCTTTCAAATATCCTAATATATGTGGCGTTATAATAAGATCGATATCTTTTTCTTTTTTAAAACGATCAACCACTACCCAAAGATAAAAAGATAAATTGGTTAGAAAGACGTAACAACGACGACGACGACGACGACAACAATAACAACAAAAATTACCTGCTGTCCTCCATTTTTTTACTAAATTTCCTTCGTTATACCAAAGAATATCTCTTTCCATAATTTCCAAGAATCCTGATGGCTTACACACTCTGATTAATTCTTTGATTGCTTTTTTCCAATCTTCAGATGTGAAAGCAAACATCATAAATCGCATATATACAAAATCAAAAGAATTATCTTCAAACGGTAAGCGGTCAATAACATTTGCTTGACAGAATTTAGTATTACTAGGTCTAATGTGTTCAGGATACGTTGAAACTATATCAACTCCCATAAAATTTGAATTTGGATATTGGTTTGCCATTTCGAGTACCCAAACTCCTGGTCCTATTGTACGAAGAAGGAACGAAAACAAAAATTTATTATTTTAAAACAAATAATTAAATAATTAATTTTAATACTAAATAAGGCTCTTACCGCATCTATTTCACGAACGAACGAGCGAATATGATAAAGAATAGTAAGAACAAATTATGTGAATAAAAAATTGATTGATTGATTGATTGATTGAATATTAACATTAAACTATTACTTACCCAACATCTAAAACTTTGCAACCTTCCTTTAATTTAGATTCTATTGGAGCAGAAAAATTATTTTTCCAAATATTTTGAAATACGTAATGTTGTACGGTCAACCTATCAATTTCGTCGTTGTCGCATGGAAAAACGTAATTAGAAAAATGGGGGTTGCCATTACAACAATCAAAACTCTCGCACACATCGTTATGTGGTATAAACGAAAAATTTGCAAGGCTTCTCTTTCTTTTGTGTGTTCTACTATTAATAGTTCCAGAGTTATTATTATTATTATTATTATTATTATTATTGACACAAACTGTGCTTTTCGAATGTGCTTTTCCCATTTTTTTTTGTTTTGTTATATTATTATTATTATTATTATTA